TAGATAAATGGTCTGCACTACACTGCATACCTGATTAATTTTTTTGCCCATATAAAAAACTATTTTCACCATATTATTTTTTAAAAAAAATCTAAGAATTTAATTATTAAAATATATTATATGTGTTGTCAGAGTAATGACTAAAAAAAATTATTAGGTTTAATTATTAAAATATATTATATGTGTTATCAGAGTAATGACCAAAAAATATTAAGGGTAAAACTAAAAAAATTATTAATTTTATAAATTATTCTAAATAAAAAAATTATAACAAAAAAAATAAAAAAAATCTGAAAAATAACAAATCCGCTAATTTGATTTATTTAAAGACTAATATAAAATCCAAATAAAAAAGGGGATAAAAAAACAAGTTATAAACACTAAACTCATAATAATTATGTAACACATGTTAACATGTCCTTTCTTTTTTTATTTATGTGAATGTTCGAGTCAGCTTGCACCCTGTTAACATGTCCTTTCTTTTTTTATTTAAGTGGATGTCCGAGTCAACTTGCACCCACCATAACTAATTCCACGGTCCACTGAATACCCTGCAAATCCAATAAACATGTAAGGCACTACGAAGATGACAAGCGTGCAAATAAAAGCTCGAACCCAGGAGCAGCGGAAGGAGACAAGTCCCTCCCACTACCAGATCAAGATCCTCAGTGCAACACGCTCTTTTTATGTGAGAGGGATGCCGAGTTGTTTCGGTCATCATCTTAAAAGTAAGGTTTTGGTTATTAAATAATATCACATGTGTCATCAAAATCCAACGGATACTATTTATATTTTTAATATTTTGTTTATTTATAAAATTAGATTGTTGCAAATAATTAGGTAAAATTTTTTTTAAATTAAAGACAAAACTCTTTAAATTTTAAAAATAATAATACAATTTAACTGTTTTAAAATTAAATAAAAACCAAAAAGTAGTTGATGAAGGTTTAATAATTTTTTATCAATAATAATAAAGTAATTATACTATACAATAAAAATAGAAATAAACTATTTATCCCCCGAAGCTAAATGATTTTGCCAATAAAGTGCAAAATATTAGTACCACCGTGGAAATTTCTTTTAACGTTTGTTTTGTGTGTGTGTGTGTGTGTATTACAGCCTCTACTTTTTAATCTGTTAGAATTCAATTATCATTAATCAATGGACAGGTTTGGAGGGGCGCATGGCTTCGGCAGCGGTGGTAGTGATGAACGGAGGGCTCTTCTTAGTCGAGGAGTAAGCTTCTTTTATTTTTTTGACCATTCAATATTGTTTTTGTTTCATTTCATGCATGTTTGCAGCCTCTAGGTAGTCCGGGATACCATTTCTGATATGTCCTGCTCATCGTTCTTGAGAAGTTTTTGAGTTTGGGTTGATTAATTTATATATTGTCAATTGATTGTGCTTGGATTGTTAATTGTACTTTGGATGTTTTCAGATTTAAACGTAGTCATCATCATGTTTCCATATACATAATTGATCAAATTAACAAAAACGGCACTTGGGTCGAATTCTTGTACTTACCAAGTGTTTGTTATTTTGGATCTTAGTTTTCACATGACCTCTTATTATTATTTGTTTCTTTAGATTATTTTTTAAAAAATTATTATTGCTTGCTTACATTTCGGAATTATCTTATCCATTTACTTTCTATGTTTCTTGAATTCTTGTGCTTGCAAAGGGAGGAAGAAAGAGAAATGATGCATCTGAGGATAATCAGTTCACAGACCTTGAGCATGGAGATGCAGTGCCAGTAAGTGCGTTTCCTGTTAGCTGCTTCAGCTTCATGTCCTTGTAGTGTTGTTGAGTTGAGTGTTTAGATGCCAACTTTATTCATGAAATTTTCAGGCTGCAAATGTGGGATTTGGTCGAGTACTTTCTCTGGTAAGTCTCCTTATGGTGTTTCTTGCTGAAAGTATAATATTATTGCTACAAATTTTTATTTTACCCAGCTTTTCTTGTCACATTACAGGCAAAGCCTGATGCAGTAAAGCTGATAATTGCTACGCTAGCTCTCCTGATTGCTTCCACATCAAGTATACTAATTGTGCGTCTTTTTGTGATTCTAGATTCTCTGTTGTGTTTACAATGATTTCTCTGGTTTTCAGGCGTGTATTTGTTGCCTTATGATCATAACATTTGGATTTCTCATGCTGCAGCCTAAGTTTGGTGGAAAGATAATAGACATTGTGTCGGGAGATATAGAAACACCTGAACAGAAAGCTGAAGCTTTACATGCTGTCAACAACACCATACTAGAGATCTTTCTGATTGTCATAACTGGGTAGGACTGGTGTATCCCAAGGCCTTTAGATTTTTTTACATTTTTATAGTAAAAGGTTTACTGTCCTGTTGCTTCCCAGATGTAAAACTTGCTTCTTTCTGCTTCCTTACCATATTACACAGCAAAAAGTGCGAGGGAATATATACAATAGATACTATATTGTTGCATTGGTAGTCTGGTTCTAATTGTTTCATCTAGTACTTGATGAGATTCATGAAAAGTAATGCAGCATTAATCAAAGTATTCACATGATGATTTTTGTGGATTTTTAAGGGGTTTATTGATCTTTATCGATTGTTTCTTCATTTAGTTCAGTTTGCACAGCACTCAGGGCATGGTTGTTTTCTTCCACTAGTGAAAGGGTGGTGGCTCGGTTGAGAAGCAACTTATTTGCTCACCTTATTAACCAGGTAAAAGATTAGTTCCTTCTAGTGTTTTCTCTAACTCATTATGCTCTATCAACTACTAAAGAGCAGGTATATTCTTTTCTACTTTCTCATCTGTTTGGTATGTATTGTTGTTAACAGTGGTTGCTGAATTTTGCAGGAGGTGGCCTTCTTTGATGTAACTAAAACTGGAGAGCTACTGAGCAGGTTATCCGAAGATACCCAGATCATAAAAAATGCTGCAACCACAAATCTTTCTGAGGCCCTAAGAAATGTATCAACTGCACTCATTGGTCTTGGCTTCATGTTTGCTACATCCTGGAAGTTGACGTGTAAGCATTTAATCATTGGATTGGCAGTACACGAACCTCATTTTTTCCATGAGCCCATGGTGCTCATCATTCGCTTTTTTTTATTCATTTACTTTCAGTGTTGTCTTTGGCTGTTGTACCTGCTATTTCTGTTGCCGTACGTCAATTTGGCCGCTTCCTTCGTGAACTTTCTCACAAGACTCAAGCTGCTGCTGCTGCTTCTGCTTCAATTGCTGAGGTATATTATTGCCAACAAAATTTAGATTTTCTGTAGTTGAACGTAGAAAATTGATGAGGGATAACATAATCCATTGGTCAATATTTCTTCAAATGATAGTCTGAAGAATTTTCACAAGAGTTACTAGTTAGGAACTGCTAAATGATGAGCAAGATGGTATAAACAGGGTCATATATATATAGAAGGTTTCCCACTACTATAGTTCATTTTCTTATAATTGTGTTGGCTGGTGAACCTAAATGGGCAAGTCTACAAATCTGATACCGTGATGCAGATGAAGTGCCCAGCTAGAAGCCAGTTAAATGCCTTTTCCTGTAAATGTTGAATGTGTAAATTGATGTAAAATTATGCTGAAAGGTTATGCATAATATGGGTAAATGCTAATATCTTGAAGGGAAATTAGACCTCATAACTGATATAGAGGCAAGTTTTTAATAAGATAACTTCCAATTTTTCTTTCTTTTTTGGTATGAAAATTTAGTATGATTACAATAATGCAAAGGGTCTGCTTGTGCAATAAATGCTGAAATGCTATTAAATTTAGTATGATTACACTGATGCAAACTGTCTACTGTTAAAGTTACATTTGGAAATCACATGTGAATTATATGACTGGTGCTTAGGAATCTTTTAGTGCTATACGGACAGTCAGATCTTTTGCACAAGAAAGTTACGAGATTTCACGCTATTCTGAGAAAGTTGATGAGACATTGAAGCTTGGACTTAAGCAAGCTGTAAGTTCCCTTGTGTTGTTTGATATCCTCTTCAACGTCCCTGAACATACTTTCTCACTCGCTGCCCTGTCCCACCTCACACAAACCCAAACCAAAAAGGAAAAAATAATGAATAAAAAAAAAAACTCTTTGTCCTTGTTTATGTGGATCTTTTGATCTAGCTATTTATCGTACAGAAAGTGGTTGGGCTCTTCTTAGGAGGTCTCAATGCAGCATCAACCCTTTCAGTGATCGTAGTGGTCATATATGGAGCTAATTTAACAATTACAGGTTCTATGACCGCTGGTGCTCTTACATCCTTCATTCTCTACAGCCTCACAGGTAAATGCATGCAGGGATCCATTTTTCATCTAATGAAATTATAATCTAATTTAGGAAATTTATTTTTGATGGTATCATATTATCAATATTGAAATCTCTCAAGTCTAGATTGATTGACTTGTAGCAACTAATTCCACTTGCAGTTGGCAGCTCTATATCTGGATTGTCGGGATTGTACACTGTGGCAATGAAAGCTGCAGGATCCAGCAGGCGGGTTTTCCAGCTTCTAGATCGTGTCTCATCCATGCCAAAGTCAGGGAATAAGTGTCCTTTGGGGTTAGTCATGGGATTCTCATTCTTCTAATATGCTTGTGAATGATTCCATGAGTTAGTCATGCTTGTTGATAATTAGAATAAAAAATGAAATTGGTGACAGCGGTGCACAAATATGCAGTAAACTTACAATTATGAGAGTGCCAGTTGGGTTACCATTACTTGTCTGTGGAGTCTGGACTAAACTAATCATCCACCATTCTTGCTTTCTGTGAAGCAATTGCCTATGAAAGAAATTATGAACTTCAGTAGTTTGCTTGCAGTTTTTCTTTATCTAAACAAATTTACTCTTTCGAAAGTCTCAATTCCATACAATGATTACAGTTTCTCAATCATGACAGCACCATATCATCCTGCCCACCCCCTACCTACCTCTCTTTTTGCTGAGGTTTATATGTGATAAACAAGTATCATGCAACCAAACCAAAAACTCATAAAATTCACGCATTTTGTGACTTCAAAACCAGAAAGAATCTCATAACTGATTATTGGTTTTCCTTGTATTCTAGTGAACAGGATGGGGATGTGGAGTTAGATGATGTCTGGTTTGCCTATCCATCCCGCCCCAACCACATGGTTCTTAAGGTGATTAGCTTCCTCTTAACTACCTCTCAGAAGTTATTGTCTGTTCATACTGTTCTGATGATAAAACACTATACATTCTTTCAATTACAGGGAATAACATTGAAACTGCAGCCTGGCTCAAAAGTTGCTCTTGTTGGCCCTAGTGGAGGAGGAAAAGTAAAATTTATGTATTTTTTTTTTTTAAGAAAAAGAAATATAAGCTCCTAAGCTGCTTCAGTTTATAAGACTTGCCATTCTAATTGAAGAAGTACTGGCGAACTAAGTTTGAGTTTTGCAACCTAAGGCAGAGTGTCATATTTATGTTATTTTGCTTGTTTCAGACCACAATTGCAAACTTGATTGAAAGGTTTTATGACCCAATTAAGGGAAAGATTCTCCTAAATGGGGTTCCTCTGGTGGAAATATCACACGAACATCTACACAGAAAGGTAATTTTCATTTTCCATTTGATATAACCTGTTTCTCCCTGACATAAGATGCTCGTATAAATTTTAGATTTGCTTGGCTAATTTTTTGTTTCATAACTTGGTGCTGTTATGGTCTAGAGGTTTCTCTGTACATACTAAACTCAGCCCTTTATTATATTTGTACAGATCAGTATAGTGAGCCAGGAGCCTGTTCTTTTCAACTGTTCTATAGAGGATAACATCGCCTATGGGTGTGAGGGTAAGGTCAGCAGCATGGATATAGAAAATGCAGCAGTAAGTTTCTACCTCTCGAAAACTGCCACACAATCCCTCTTAATTAAACAATCAGCAATAGCTAATGTAATTGTGATATTGCAGAAAATGGCCAATGCGCATGATTTCATTGCAAACTTCCCAGATAAATATCAAACTTTTGTAGGAGAACGTGGGGTAAGGCTTTCAGGAGGTCAGAAACAGAGGGTAGCAATTGCTAGAGCCCTACTGACGAATCCAAGGATTCTCCTCCTTGATGAAGCCACAAGTGCTCTGGACGCCGAGAGTGAATATCTAGTGCAGGTCAGTTTACATGTCAACACAACATTCTTTGTTTTAGTTTCTTAGAAGGTTTTTCTTAAAACTTGATGCCATTTATTTCTCGCATAAATTTTTCACAAGCTCTCATGGTGGAAACTTTGTAGGATGCCATGGATTCTCTGATGAAGGGAAGGACTGTTCTAGTTATAGCCCACAGACTATCAACTGTCCAAAGTGCAGACACTGTAGCAGTTGTTTCTGATGGTCAGATAGTGGAGAGGGGCTCTCATGGAGAGCTCCTTAGCAAGGATGGGGCCTATACTGCGTTGGTGAAGAGACAGTTACAGGGACCCAAAACAGATGTCATCGTTTAAAACCCTTAAATATGGACCACGAACGTTTTGGTGAAAGTATGAAGCTCTATAATAAAATCTTCCTTCTTGATAATGCATTCAATGCTACGCCACTGATTTATGGTTCTGAAAGCCAATGCTATCATCAGTAAAGCTTGTTAATGTATCGAATCCTCAATGGAAGAGCTCCAAGCTGTTTGATTAACCTAGTGAGGGTATCTTTACGATCAAGTCCTGATCATTTCTGATACTTTCGAATAAAGGAAAGTCAGAGGAGCGGCTTAGCCAAGATAATCCATGGATGTCATGCATCTCATTTTTGCCTCTATAGGCATTGTGATCATCTTTGGAAACTGTACGCAAGTTGAGAGAGTTCAGCACTATTTGGCTAGCATATCAAGGAGACAAATGACTAGTAAAAGTTATTCGAGAAAATGCTGTCATCATCTCCGAATTGCTCTTCTGCTGCAATCCTAGTAATCAAGTTCGGTGGGAAAGAGATTACCACTTGAACTTTAGAACATAACGCAAAGTTTCGCAAACTTAGCGACAAATAGTTTTTAAAATATAAACAGTTTTAATTTGTACGGCATCATAACCCTTGCTGAAACTGAACAAATACAAAATATTATTTGACACCCAGAAAAAGAGAGAAAATACAAACAAACAGAGAGATGGATCAGTTGTGTATCAAGGTACTCACAATCGTGACAGTTAATACAAGATGTTAGTGAGTCATTGACACGCTCAGTTAAGGTATCGACATACTGTCTCCAAACAGTGAGCTCGAAACCAAGCCAGGCAAATCGGCAGATGTTTCAGAAAAATGTAGAGGTTAGGATAAAAAAAGTGGGCAAGTTTCTGTGAAGGCTTCCCTGGGAATCTGACATTTTCAAACAGTATTAAACAAAATAATCCCATTTCTCGAAATTTACCTTGCTTGTAGCTGTACTTCACATATCATGGCGGTCATTGCCTGCCCTGTTGGCGTCACATTTTAATAATCCAGTCCTGAGTAAGAAGTTCCAGTACATGATGGCTGAGAGCTGCAAGAGCACACCAATCTGCATGATAAGTTGAAAATCAACTTCAAGAATAACTTGAACAATTTCCTTGCTTCACAGCTTATAAAAACCTGTGAATGGTCAACCAAATATTTTGCTGAATTGCTTAGCCATAATCCATAATTAATGAAACAAACCTCCAGAGCCCAAAGTACATGCACATGCTAGGCAGTCCACACATAAAATTTTATATGAACGAGTCTCTCTTGACTAAATATTTCCAGTAATGAACTCGAATTCCTTGTGTGCAGTCCAGGCATTCTGAAAATTGGGTATCGAGTGCCAATCCGACGATTTTGAGAACCATATTTTTCTAACAAAATCCCCCCATCATGCATCAAGAGAACAACAGGCCAAATACAATAGAACAAATTTTCCATCGCCTAAAATTACTAGAACAAGTCCACTCAACTGCACCCTAAGCTGCAAATCGCAAATCATCCTTCTCTGCTAAACAAGTCCTTCCATGATAGACTTCATGTTCTTCACATCTTCTTTCGAGTCAGGATCCCTTTGTTGGGCCTTCTCTGCTAAACAAGTCCTTCCATGAAAGACTTCATATTCTTCACATCTTCTTCCGAGTCAGGATCCCTTTGTTGGGGTTTCAAAAGCTTCCATAATCCAGTTGGATGTTGGTTTTTAACTTGAACATCACCAGAAAACCTTCCAAACATTTTTTCACATTCTGGATATGGCTTAACATATAGATTATAGAATCTACGCCTACTTAGCTTGATCATGGCCTTCAATCCTACCTCATCACCAAGTCCACCTTTTGCATGCAAATACTCTATTACCTTATATCGAGGAACAACCTGCTTCTCAAAACTCACACCTAGATACTCTGGAACATCAACCAAACAACCGACATTCAATCCCACTGTTTTCACTATAAAATCAATCTTCTTCTCAATTTCATCTATTTCATATAAAATTACCCTTGGCTCTTTCCACAAAATCTTAAAAGCTTCTCTACGAATCAACCGATGTTTGCATAAGCAGTCGACTCTAAGTTTCACTTCAAACCCAGCTCTAAATGCTCCCTTACTAAAAATCTTCAATTTGATCGGTTCTCGACATTTCAGAGACCTAATCAAGTCCAAAGACCTCGAGAGTTCACCTACTTCCATACCGAGAATCCGAGGCTCTCTAATAATCTCTTTCCTAACCAACTCTTCACTAAAACCCAAATCCTTAAACTCATTGAGCAATGGCATTAGCCTATTTTCAATTCCAAACCCTAAAACCTCAGGAAATGAATTGAAGACGCGGTCAACTCCATCTCTGGGAATTCCAATTGCCATCAAGAATTGAATTCTCCTATGAATTTCGCATTCCTTCAAAGCAATCACTCCAGGAAAACCCTCTAAAACCCTCCTCGTGGTACTTTCACTAAACCCTAAACCCTTCAAAACCTTCAAAGTCTCATTAAACCTATCTGGGTCAATCTGGAATTTCTTAGAATGCTCCAAAACAGTTTTGATGAGCAATGGAGGAACACCCAAATCTGCAAATTTTGAAAAACCAAATTCCCATCTCTTCAAGAAGTCAAAGTCCAACACCCCGGGACAATCAATGATCAAAGAAACAACGGATTTATGTGGAATCTTGAAGGATGATGTGAGCATACCAAGGGATTTCTCCGTATCATGTAAATTGGAATTCAAAAGAAAATGATTTCGAGAAAGGAAAGTTTGGAGCTGAGAGGGAGGGAAACCGTACCTCTGAAGGAGAGTGGTGAGCGAAATTTGCTTCCTGTAGAGGGATTGATTTGAGGACAAGAAACGGAGTTTTGGCTTAAAGGGTGTTGGTGCGGATGCAATGAGGTGATGAAGAGTTTCTGTTGGTCGAACCATTGATAGAGGATCCTCAAGCTCGGGTCTGTTGCAGTGCAAAGAAACCAAGTTCACTTGAAAAACTGAGGAACCTCTAAGCAGAAAGCTGTTCGGTCTTATGGCGATGCCTCGATTGTTGTTTGGGAATTTTAGAGCCGCTTGGGCGTCCTGGGCAGAATTACAAAGCTATTTTTTGAAAGTTAGATTTAATATCCTTTAATTTAGTTTACGGTGTGATTATTTGTTTATATATATATATGGTAGTTATTTTCCATGAATTATAGCATGCACTCAGCAG